CTTTTTAAAGAGGGGGGGGGGGGGGGGTGCGGGGGTTGCCAGTAATTTAGGTTCAATTAAAAGTTAAAACCAAACATTTAAAAATGTTTTTATCTACAAAAAAATTGCTTTTTCGATGACAATAAGCTCAACTATATGCATAATAACACTTGATAGTGTAAATTACAAGTAAATAAAACACTGGAAACAAGAATCACTTGTGGACAATAATATAGCCAGTTTCATGGATGTGATTGCATTTTTGTTTATTCTGCAGCAAAAGAAAAATGTCAATTCCATGCCTCTTCTTTCAGGCAGGGCAACACTTATGTAATTCAGTTCAATGCGCAAAGAAAATCTCAAGTAAATGTGTTTATTAAAGGGTGAAACAGGCTCATTTTCTGTCTTAAAAAGTGTTAATACAATGTACCGGTAATTGAAATTATCCCAGTTCAAATTTAAAATGGGCAAATTTTAAATGAATTGTCAAGTATTAATCAGTCTAGCTGAAAATGCAAATATATACAGTGGCAAGGTTAACAGCGCAAATAGTTATTTAATTGAAAAATATTACAAAGCAATTGGAAAAACATACATTGCAATTGTTTTATACAGTAAATGTGTTGGCAAATAGCTCCCCAGCTCTATGAAAAAGGGTATTAGTCGCGCTGTGCATTTTTGTGTAATGACCCGCACAAACTTGAGAGGGTGAAAATTTCATCAAAATGTGATTTTCATTTTTTGTCATGAATGGCATCTTTAAAGTACATAATGTCAGGGCTCATTCACAGAAATATTGATTTTGATAATGGACAATTGTGAGTGCATTGTGCACACATCTACCACAGAGCTAGCGATTTCAAAGCCTGTTTTCTCAGTTGTGTAACTTATCCCAGTTCAAATTTAATATGGGCAAATTATAAATGAATTGTCAAATCAGTCTAGATTAAGAAGCAAGGTTAACAGCGCAAATAGTTATTCAATTGAAAAATATTACAAAGTTCTACTTGGAAAAACATACATTGCAATTGTTATATACTGTAAATGTGTTGGCAAATATGTGACCAGCTCTATGAACAACGGTATTAAGTCGAGCTGTGCATTTTTGTGTAATGACCCGCACAAGCTTGAGAGGGTGAAAATTTCATCAAAATGTGATTTTCATTTTTTGTCATGAATGGCATCTTTATAGTACATAATGTCAGGGCTCATTCACAGAAATATTGATTTTGATAATGGACAATTTTGAGTGCATTGTGCACACATCTACCACAGAGCTAGCGATTTCAAAGCCTGTTTTCTCAGTTGTGTAACTTGAACTCCAAGGAAGAAGTTAATATGGAAATGCATTATATCTCAAGAGCAGGAGGGGCCATGTAGTTCTAATATACACCAAATGAAAGCTTAATGTACATTGTGGGCTCTCCATCCATGTACATAACTCAATTTCACAGTTTTGCATAATAATACTTATTTTTGTAGAGCCAGTCACAAATGTACTACATGTACATCTGGCAATCAACAACATAAGCTAGCTTCCGTAGAAGCAAAACACCAAAGGACATTCTCAAGACAACCAACCGAGTGTGAACATTTCCAGCTTTTTTTTGCAGGTAGGAAGTAAAGAACAATGTAAATTATAGTTTTATTCTTTGAAAGTTGAAGCTGCCTCAACTGTTTTAAACTACTGTTTTAAACTGACCACATTTAAGACTACCACAAACTGAGTATTGAATTAACATTTGTGTATCTCATATAACCACACAATCACATTTTGTAAGCCTACCACAAACTGAATAATGCATTCATAACATTTGTGTATATCATATAACAACACGATGACATCATCCTCATGTCACGCACATTCTCATCAAATACAAAAAAAATAACCAAAAAGTTGTATTGATAAACATCTAACAACCTAATAACCAATTGAATCCGTAATTGGTCATCACTTCTTCAGAAAATAAAGAATGGAAATTTAAAGCCTTTATTTTCAGGCAGGAAGTAAAAAATTGTAAGAAAAATTTTCTTAAAAAGTTAAGACAAGAATTAGGGCCACCAACTATGTATGATTGCTGTGGCTCATCAAGAGAGATATTGGAAGGCGTATGGTCAGCTGACTGGACATCTTACTCAAGACAATAAGGACCAGCACTAGTACTATGTATGATTGCTGTGGCTCATCAAGAGAGATATTGGAAGGCGTATGGTCAGCTGACTGGACATCTTACTCAAGACAATGAGGACTAGCACTAGTACTATGTATGATTGCTGTGGCTCATCAAGAGAGATATTGGAAGGCGTATGGTCAGCTGACTGGACATCTTACTCAAGACAATGAGGACCAGCACTAGTACTATGTATGATTGCTGTGGCTCATCAAGAGAGATATTGGAAGGCGTATGGTCAGCTGACTGGACATCTTACTCAAGACAATGAGGACTAGCACTAGTACTATGTATGATTGCTGTGGCTCATCAAGAGAGATATTGGAAGGCGTATGGTCAGCTGACTGGACATCTTACTCAAGACAATGAGGACCAGCACTAGTACTATGTATGATTGCTGTGGCTCATCAAGAGAGATATTGGAAGGCGTATGGTCAGCTGACTGGACATCTTACTCAAGACAATGAGGACCAGCACTAGTACTATGTATGATTGCTGTGGCTCAGCAAGAGAGATATTGGAAGGCGTATGGTCAGCTGACTGGACATCTTACTCAAGACAATGAGGACCAGCACTAGTACTATGTATGATTGCTGTGGCTCAGCAAGAGAGGAATTGGAAGGCGTATGGTCAGCTGACTGGACATCTTACTCAAGACAATGAGGACCAGCACTAGTACTATGTATGATTGCTGTGGCTCATCAAGAGAGATATTGGAAGGCGTATGGTCAGCTGACTGGACATCTTACTCAAGACAATGAGGACCAGCACTAGTACTATGTATGATTGCTGTGGCTCAGCAAGAGAGGAATTGGAAGGCGTATGGTCAGCTGACTGGACATCTTACTCAAGACAATGACTCCATTCATGCACTTACTGTAGTCTTGAATTGTCATTCTTGAGACTTCCCCGGGTCTCTTTCGGTTGAAGAGAATGATTTGGGAGAGAAGAATTTCTGCCAGCCTTGACCATGCTGTTTGGACTTCTCTTGAGCCATCTGCACTTTGCAACATCTGTTCCCTGACTCTAACATAGCTGCCAACATTTCAAAATCCCAATTAGTAATCAACCCGCGCGGTCATTTTCAACTGCTCGTTTTATCCAAAGCTTTACCAACATCGCGTACAGGTACATGGTTTACATGTACACATACATGTGCATACCCTTCTTGTTGTGAATAATAATGTACTGTAGGCCAAAAGATAATTTAAAAAAAAAAAAATTTAATTTAATTTTTTTTTTTTTAAATTTTTTTTTTTTAATGTCTGTATTTGTTTGTTGGAGTCAAATAAATAATAACAATAATAAAATATACACATATTTTTTTGGAGATGCATGCTATCGATGTGGAGTTTCGAGTTCGTATCAATGTTTTTACACACAATGATTTAGGGCCACCGTCATGACCGTATGCAATAGAAATATCCCGCCGACATACCTTGCAAACGCATGCTGATTTATCTTTTCTGGACGTTGTGACAAACTCAAACTGTAATACCAATTATTCCAACCATACTCTTATTAAATTCCATGATTCAATTGTCGCACTGATGGGTCTCAACCCGGCAAAAAGCGACCAAATGTGCTCACGATCGTCACTGAAAAGTACTCACATACAGTACACACAACCCCACATCCACGAGATGCACACAAATGACACACCATTGAAAAATAGTTTTAGTCTGGTCCTCAAGTACTCCACTGCACACACTGCATTGATGTCTATCAGGTGCTTGACTGCATTCTTATTAGACTTGTCACCAGTCCATCCATTATCGCGACATTTCGCCAGAAGTTTTCGGTCAAAAACGATACTTTACAAGTATTTTTTTTTTCATTAGGTAGAAAATGGGAAATTCGTAATGTTTTAGTGGCAAATCGTATTTTCGTAATTTAACAAACAATTCGTAATAATTACGAAAAATTAGTAACAGTTGGCAGCTATGCTCTAACCTCATCCTTCAGATATTGCGATAGCTTCACCACATCTTCAGTCAACGGTAACAGCTTTGGATTGTTTCGCTGCGCCTCATTCAAACTACGTAATGCATGATGGCTGACCTTTTCTTCCCATTGTGTGGAGTAAAGTGATAGGAATCCTTTACAACGCTTCTCAGTCGACTCATCCCCAGACATAAGAGCCTCACCACGCAGAATTTCTGCACAAGTCTTCATGCTGTGTCCAATCTTCAGTGCAAGACTGGGTGTGCTGTACAGGCTAGTTTCGTCATTGAAGCCAGCTGCAACTTGTGTTGCACGAGTCACTGCAACAAATTTTGTAGGACATATCAGAGTAGACAATCCAACATTTGTTTGGCCTGTCAAGAATCGAAATTCCAACACCATTCGTGCAATCTCCCTTAATCTTTGCCTGATGTATCCAGCCTGGTCTTTGCTGTGGCCATGCTTCATTACCAACTTGTCAGCAAACCTTTTGATAAGCTCATCAGACTTGACCAATCGGGAAATGTTGTCGGCATTCATACTTGACAAGATTTCATTAGTCCTAGCACTAACCCCGGGTGTTGATGGCAAAAGCATTCGCCCTGGCTTGCAGAACATAGTTCTTCTCTTTTTTACACAAGGCTCACCAGAGCAATCAACATCAGGTTTTTGGCTGCATCTGTGCTTCCATAAATCTGACTTGGCATAGTAGCCGTAACAGTCCTGACAAAGAAGATAATCATTATGGTCCGTGTCATATCCAGGACGATACACAACAATAAGAGTGCCTTTCCCCTTTTTCAAAACAGTTGAGTTATGAAGAAAATTGCCGTAGTTTCTCATCAGTGTGAGTTGTTTCTTCTTTTCCTTCACATCTGTTGTGGCCAGCCAAGTTTTAACATGGGTTTCATCTTTATGCATCGGTGTAGTCAAATGGCGTGGTAGTTTCTTCTATTGCTGAAGACAAAATGGGCAGTACTGTGGTTTGTCCCAGTGGCGCTTCCTTCAGAGTTTGAAGTTGTCATGACTTCAATTTCACTTGTGCTGGAGACAGTCTCATCAGAAGAAACTGGATGATTGGAAGACTCCCTTGATGGAATCGGTATTACCGGGCTTGGTGACCTCAAAGATATTTCATCTGATGATTCTGGAACAATGTCTTCATCTGACGAATTTGAATCTGGAATGAAATCAGGATCGTCTTCATCTGAGGGATATTCATCAGGTGAGTCAAGACTATCCTCTACAGGATATGATGGAGCATGCTTTCGAACAATTATGTGTGATTTCTGTGATTCATCAAGAGAGGACTTCAAAGGTGTTTGGTCTGCTGACTGGACATCTTTATCAAGACAATGAGGGCCACCAACTATGTGTGATTGCTGCGGCTCATCAAGAGACTTGGAAGGCATTTGGTCTGCTGCCTGGACATCTTTCTTAAGACAATGTGGACCACCACTAACTATGTGTGATTGGTGTGGCTCAGCTATAGACAACTTGGAAGGCATTTGTGCTGCATGACCAGCATTGATGTGTGATTGCTGTGGCTCATCATGAAACGATGGTGAATACAACTGGCATGGACAATCATTGTCGCTGTGATCTTGCTTCCATTTGGTCTAAAATAAGATACAAAGAACAAGTTATTATTAACGCCCCTACCCTCAAAAAAGTAAATAAGTAAATAAGCAAATAGAGCAAACGAGCAAACGAGCAAACAGACGATGGAAGTGTTATAAGCATTTTTGACATAAAGAGTATTTTTAAATTGACAGAAAAGACATTGACTTTCTCAATTGTTTTGTTTGCTTTAAGTCCAACATGATTTTTGTTTCAACCACTAACTTGCCATCAGTGATTACAATCTTTTGAATTTTGTTACACAATATACATGCAGCAATTTCAGCTAATTTTATATATAAATGAATGTTTTATTTCTTTTTTTCCCCATTTTCCCAATTTCCCAATTTGTTGCAGTCACAGTCGGGTTATTGGAAACTCAAGATTAGTTTTTGTCCAATACAATTTTCAAGAACATTTTGCAAGGTATAAAATAAAGCCATATGAAGACCATACAATTTTTTATGGTCCTTGAAATGAAAAAAAAAATCCATGTCATTCTCAAGATTTTTCCAGGCCACAGGGGCCCTGGGTATACATGGATGCTTTATATACATGTATAGCTCTTTTTCTTACCTGTCGCCAGGGTAGATTGTCTATGCCATAATTGTATCGCAGCTCTGAGCCAACTTCCAAATCGAACAAGGCAAACAGACACAGGTGTGGTTCATCACAGCTTTCGAAAACTAGTTTCTTCATCACACAGTTGGGTGTGTCTTTCGCATCGTTGATCCACCGTGCCATACATGAATTGGGATTCATTGCATTATCAATGCTGTAAAAAACAGTAGTGCAAATCATGATGTTCATAACAGTGTTTTAGCCAGGATTTGAGAAAGTGGGAGTGTAAAATTTAAAAGTGGGAGTGCAACGTTGGAGTCCAGATTTTTTGTGCACAACACGAAGTCTCACTGCCGCGATCCAGGGCCGCATAAAAAGCCTTAAAGAACATGGATACTATCATGGCTAATTAGTTTGCTCTCTAATGGTAGCTGATGCATTCGCAATACCCGTTTTCCAAGTAGAAGTCAGCTTAGTAGTTTTGATTTGTTTCTTTTTTTTAAACAGAAAATAAAACGTTTGACCAAAAATACAGGATGTGCAGTTGTCCGTTATTTAAGTGATTGCCAATAGTGATTACACATGTAGCTGTAACAAATACGGTGGTCTTTACAAGTAACTGGATTTTTCCTTAAAATTCAAATGGGATTGATTATTTTTGAACTGGAAAAGTATGGACTAAAACTAAGTTTCAAATTAAGAAGCAAGGCCAAGGGAAATTTTGCTTCCTTTTACATGCCTTTTTAAAAATAGGGTCAGTACATCTGAAAAATTTTTTTCATCATTTTGTGTGATGATTGTATGGTGGAACAGGAGCAAGGAATCATACATGTATGTGTTTTACTTTGGGTCTGGGTTAGTTCCATTAGCACCAGAAAGTTTTTCGAGAATGAACATCAAAAGAGCTTAAAATATAATTGCTCAATGTAAGATATATAAGATAAAAGTTTTTGTTTTAATTATTAATGGAGCATTCAAGTCATCCGCACCATAGTCAATGTAAATACGCAAATAAAACCACTGGAACATAACACATTCTAACATTATAGGATATGTGAAATGTTTGAATATGTATTAGCGGTACACGTACACGGACTGTGAAATAGAGGACATGTACAGCAGGCATAATTAATTAACAATATAGTATTTAAAATGTTAGAATGTGTCTTGTACATGCAATGCAATACTGGACAAGTACAGCAGGCCCAATTATTAACAATTTTAGTATTTAAAATGTTTTGGATCTATGTTTTGCGTTGCATCTATTGCGTAAAAATAAGCTCAGCTAGAGTAGTTCAGACCGGATTACTGAAAATAAACAGCAAGAGAATTTTGTGTGCAAGCGTATATTTCATACTTCTTTAAAAGACAACTCCACAAAGAATATATTCATACATCGCTCGGACATTTTGTCTGAGTACATCTGCATTTGGTCGGACAAACCAAGAAAGTGGTCGGAAAATATCCGATGTCCGACTGTAATTTCACGCACTGAATGTGTATTGTACATGGACTATGCAATAGAGGACACGTACAGCAGGCCCCATCAATTAACAATTTAAGTATTTAAAATGTTTTGGAATCAGTCCTTCATTTAAAGGAAATCCAGTAGAGCTATAAATTGCTCTCCTCAAATCTTTGAGGAGAGCAAATCGCTCTCCTTAAAATTCACGGATAAACAGTGGTGAAACGACGGGTTACCATTGTTTTTGTTTTATTTTGAATCAGGATTTCTTCAAGGGGCTGCATTATAGTTTTTGCATAATAACATGCTCAGGTGGCGTTACTTCTTTGGTTTTTGTAACTGTAAGAATTTATTTTTAAAAACTAACTAGGCTTAAATGGAGATTAATAAAAGGTTTTACTGCTTATGCTTTCATTTTTTTAAATACAGTTGTCAGTTGTTTCATCACTTAATTATACTTGGAAAATGGAGTTAATAAACGACACATGAAGCAACTGAATATTTGTTTTCAGATTCGTTAAAATTATATGAAAATTTTCAGCCTGAACTATTTCCATTGCACTACGAAAGCTATACAAAAAAGGGCCTCAAAATGACAAAAACTTGCCTTAAGTGTTATCGAAAATATCTGCCGTTGATAATCTCAAAAATAATGGAAAATGCAGGTCAAGTATGCCATATGCACAATGCTATAGTCACGACGAGAATCTGGCTAACAACGTCTAAACTTCGCACTAGTACGAGCGTTTGTGCTGCACTGTGGTGGGCCGGCAATGAGCCTTGTTTTAAGGTATAGGATTTCGGTGAAACACGCTGCATCGTTTCACTTTATACATGTATGTATACCAGTAGTACTTCCTCAAAATAAATTCATGAACACGGGAAATATACATACACAGACAAGAGAGATCAAGTTCTGTGAATAAACTTGCAAAGATCGTCTTTCTAAATTGATGTTTTCTTGGCATTTTTACGATGTCTATTCCGTCCGGCTGGCCTGCATGCAAAACACTGATACTGCAAAAAGTACATACAGCAGTGCGCATTGCACCGTGCGCGATTATTGCATTGACTGATTACCGCATTTCCATTACGCCTTCTTTGGGCCTTAGTGTGCGGCGCAGCGGGAACCAGTCATTGCTGCACTAGCACGTACGGGTCCACGTGTTTTCATGCAGCTCTATGCGATATGCAGATTGTGTACGTACAGTATACAGCTGCTGTACAAGCACAATCTTTATGGTACGTACGAGCTCGGTGTTCGTTCATTTTTAGCAAAGTCCGGGGGAATATTAACGTGAGTTTGGGCATTATACCAATGAATAATACGTGTAGCTTCAGACTTAAAATAAAAAATTTCAATGAAAACATTCTGAAATTTTTAGGGTCAAAATATTAGTTAAACACCTCTAAATTTTTCAAATCTATCAAAATGTTTAACATCATAAGAATCCTTATGAAATAAACAATATTTTGAATTTTGAATCAGCTTATTATCACTCGTTACAAAAAAGTTATGATTTTTCCCCCGTAACACTAACATCGCGCCGCACGATTGTCCAACATGTCTGACTCTGGGTCCACACCGCAATGCGACCACACAGCCCGCCATAACACACGGGTAAAATACAGTTCCATTCACGGTACACACAACGCAGCAACACGAAACATGCACGTGTACGCGTAATCGCCGTTGCGACATGCGGATAAAATCGGCTGCCGGAACGGGCCGGCATTATTTTTTGACAAAAAAACAACTTTCGTGTTCTCCTAAAAGTCCAAGCTTCCGAATAAACCCCATTTCATGGACTTTCTATGCATGTATTTTGAGGATTTTTGATTGGAAAACCGTTACATGGTACCGTTTTGTAGCCTTCAGAAAATGAAAAAATTGCATTCACCGATTGCTCGGCAGGCTGAGCAGGGTACCAGGTCATACATAATGTACGCACGCGTGCTGTGCAACCAACGATTGTCGCACCACGTGCCCAATTGCACATGAGGAGCTCACTGCGAATCAGCCGGAACGTGCACAGCAGTGTTGTAGTCGAGACCGGATAGTCCGAGACCGAGACCAAGACCGAGACCTGAAGATTCAAGACCGAGACCGAGACCGAGACCAGCCCCTTCAAGGCGGACCGAGACCGAGACCAATATGGTCCGAGACCGAGACCGAGACCGAGACCGCTGATAATAAATAACAATAGTCGAAATAAAAAAAAACAAGACACGTTATTATAGTTGAAAAATGTATCCTTTCTATTCACAAAGAATACAGACCAAAATTTTGACCAGTGGCAGTGTTGACAAATTGATACATGACACCTTACTTGAGCAAAAAGTAGTTACACTTAAGAAATATGGGCTTTGACATGTTGTCTACACCCAATCGTGACAAAAGTAAAAAGTTAAAGGCAGATGCTTCTTTTTCTGTTATAGGAACTCGGATCCTAAACTCCACAGTCACCCCCTTGGTTTCAGCTATGACTTCTAACGGATATTTAAAGATGCAATTTAATTTTACATTGCCTCTTTTTTCCTAAAATAAATTTAGGACTTAACTTCTTAGAACAAGACTTGTGTACTTGATTTTAAAAAATTGGAGCTAGAAAATGTTGAATTAATTTTTAAATTTGTGTCATAGAATGTGGACTTGTACATGTAGACCCACAAGTTGCGAGGTGGTAGCTAGAATGTGCCAGATATGGATTTTTAATTTTTTTCTGAACGGGACTTTTAATTTTTGAGGAATAATGGGGTACTTTAAAATGAGCAGCCAGAAAATTGGGTCTCATCAAACACTCTCATGGCAACAGTGAGTGGTAACTGGTAAGAGTGTGTGAGCTCAAAGTTGGTAAATCAGGTAGAAAAATTTACTTTTTCTTCAAAATACTGTCCCAAATTAAAGAGAACATTGTGTGGGGTCGAAAATATAACTAATTTGAAGCACCTCATTTATTATCAGAATACAAAATGCAAGTGATTACGCCCACAGGGGTGGGCTAAACTACACAATCCCCGAAAATGGTTGACCCTTATTGCATAAATTGTTACAAGTTTATACTTTGCTTTATGTGGCCGACTCAACAGATAAATGCCGAACTTGTTCCAAATCGTTCAGTGACTGGTACTGCTACAGCTTTACATGTACTTTGGGGACTTTCCAACGTGCAGTCGAGTCCAAACCGACCGCGATATATAACAAGCTTGATCTACGGGCTAGCAAATGTTTTAAATAACAACGGTACTGAACGAAGTGAACACAAAGTAATCGATCGAGCTGTAAAAGCTACATATTGCCGGTCTCGACCTGAGACCAGCCAAAATATCGAGACCAAAGGGGACCGAGACCGAGACCAAGACCGAGACCACAGCTTCCGAGACTGAGACCGAGACCGAGACCAGCAAAAAGTGGTCTCGAGACCGGTCTCGAGACCTACAACACTGGTGCACAGCATTCTGGGACCATCTGCCTTGTTAAGCATGGAGGATCTGCGCGTTAGGATTGCGCAATGTATCCATAAATGGGATTATTTTCACTTCGTCACTCAGTCGAAAATCTTGAGTCGATATGCACCCAGACTCGACCAGTTATATACACACGGACGTTGAAAAGGCTCCATACTAGCTCGAGAATGGGACGTGTATCGTCTTCGTTCACGGTACGAATGACAATCTCAAAGAACACTAACAATTAGTCCGGAGAATACGAAGGTGAAATACCAAGACACACACATAAAATGCACAGA